GTTATCCCTTTTTTCTACGTATTAGCGGGTTCAAATCATCGAAACCTATAACATCAGTATCAGTATCAGGAGAATATTATAAATATGAATATAATATAATATAATATAATGGATAATAAGTAACTATTTAAGTAAAAAAACAAATTTTTTTATTCAAAAATATAAGAAATTTAAAAGTAAAGGAATATTAAGAATATATAATATTCCATAAAATAATACCTGATTTATTGAATTTGAAATTTTTTATCATAGTTTCTATATAGATATTAAGATTAAATAAATAATGATTTTCATAGAACAAAAAAATAAATTGGAATATATTGCAGTCAATCTAAAAAAATTTTTATAAAGATTAAATAATGTTTTTGAATTTGATTAAAATAAAATAATAAATTTATTATTATAGGAATAAAAATCTTATCAAAATAATTAAATTAGGTCTATAAATAAAAAAAAAGTATTTCATTTTTTATATATATTATATTAAATAAATATTTATAATAATATATTAATATTTTGTATTTTCTATAATATTTATAAAATATATATTATTAATATGTATTTTTTATACTTAATTTTTTATTTATTAAAATAAAAATATTTTTTTATATATGTATTAAATATATATTTATTATTTTTATATAAAAAATAAATTTAATTAATATATAATATCATATTATTTAAAAAATAAAAAATAATATAATATATAGAAATAATATTATATATATATATATTATTGAATAAATATATTAAAATTTTTATATATAAAAAAATATTATAAATATCATGTATTTTAAATAATACGTAAATTATTATAATATATATTTTTTTTAATTATAATAATAAAATAATATTAATATAATAATATATTATTTTATAAATTTAGATATAAATAAATATATTTTAGAAATTTTAATTTTATTATTTTTAAATATTTTAAAAATTATAATAACAACTTCTATTTATACAAATTTCTATATTATTTATTATTAAAAATATAAAAAAATTTTAAAAAATAATAATATAAATTTTAAATTTATTTTTATTTAATACAAAAAAATAAATTTAATATTATTTATATTTTTTTTATTAATAATTTCTATAATCAATAATTATTATTAATTTAAATAGATATATATTTATATATATTTACTTTTAATTTTAATAAAATAATAATATAATTTAATTTTATTTTAAAAAAACTTGTGGTAAATATTTAAATAATTTTTTTTAAATAAAATATAAATATATTTATCCTTAATTAAAATATCTTAAAATTTTTTTATAATTAATACATATTAATATTAAACAATCATTATTAATCAATCATATATGAAAACATTAATAATATATCTATTTTAATTAACTTGTATTTTTGGTTTACATGTACTCTAACACTAATGTGTCCATGATTAAATTTAAAAAAACTATCCCTAAAATGTAATCTTCCCTGATGATGGTTATACAGATATCCGTAATTTACAACCTAAAATGTCCCGTAATATGATTATAACTTATGATATGTCCTATTTCTCAAACTTACCTAAAAATCCTAAAAATAAATTATAATTGAAACTTGTGAGAAAGCTTTAAAAACAGCATTTAAATATTTTTCTGATCTTATAAAAATAGTTCCAAAATCTGAAAAACAAATGAGATTTAATTCCAATATTAAAAAATGTGGAGAAGTTACAATTCCTTAAATAGACAGAGACAAGGGAAAAGATTCTGATTTACATATATATGTATAATATAATTATGATTCAAAATAACCTTTTTTAGCCTTTGCTGCTAATTGTTAATTTGTGTATAAGGTAGGACCTTCTCATGGTTAAATTACATTTAATTTGGATTAATTAGAAAAAAAAGATTTAAGTTAAAAATATATCTTTTAAGATATATTAGAATTAGTTATCCATGAAACGACTCATCTTTTGGGTTTTTCACAACACTCTATACCTTTATGGATATAATCTGATAAAAGTCTTTATACTGAACCTACTTTCATAAAAAAATTAAGGGGAATTGATACTTTATTTCTCAAAACTCCTTATGTTTTATATTTTGCTCGAAAATATTTTGGTTGTCCTTCCTTAGATGGTATGCCTCTTGAAAATATAGGTGAAGATTTTGTAAATTCTCATTGGAAAAACATAATAATCAATAGTGAATATATGAATTCATATTAATAACCTTTATAGTCATATTATAGTGGTTTTACAGCTAATCTTTTAAGAGACACAGGCTTCTATGAGTAAATAAAAGAATCTATGGGAGAAGAAATACTCTATGCTAAAGGAGTAGGCTGTCAACACTTCACTGATAGTTATTGTAATTCTTATAAAGATGAATATTGTATTCCTTAAACTGAATAAGGTTAATGTGATTTCCACCATATTGGATCTTCAAATTGTATTATTGGTTAATTTAATGAATCACGTTGTCATACATATTAAGTTTCTTTATAAAAGGAATGCTGGAATATTAAAAATATGTAACAATCAAAATAACTAATAGAAGTGTACGGAATTTAATATGGAGTTGATTCGAAATGTTTTAACTCTCTTTAGTAAAAATACTTATTATGTGAATGATCCAAAAATTTAAGGTTTATGCTATAAATATAATTGTAGTTCTAACGGATAATAAGTGACTATTCATGTAGGAAAATAAAAAGTTGTTTGCACAAAAAATTTTCAATATATGCAAGTTAAGGATATAATGAAAGTATTGTATGTCCTAAAATTATAGTGTAGTTTTGCAAATTTAAAAAAATTTGTCCAAAATTCTGTAGTTATAACGGATATTGTTTAAATAATAAGTGTTTTTGTAATAAAGGATACTTTGGAGGCGATTGCAGTTTAAGAAATCCTTTTTGAGAAATATTAATGTTTTTTTATTATTATTTTTAATATATAAAAAGGACAATTTATTAATATTTATATATTTTTTTTTTTTATGTTAAGAATTTAAATTCTAATTTTTAATTATTATTTTATTTTATTTTATTTTTATTTTATTCTATTTTATTTTTTTTAAAAAATACATAATAATTTAAAATAATTATAAAGATTTAATTATAATTTATTATGAAATATATTATTTTTTAAATTTGTTTTTATTATTATAAATAATAAAAAAAAAAATAATAGACTAAAAAAAATATATATATACATAAAGATATTTATATATTTTAAAAGATATATTAGTTTTTATTATTTAAATAAAATATACAAATTTTTAAAATCTTCTTATGCTGATAGATAATAACTAATATCTACAATTTTTTTATTTCTATAGTAAACTTTTAAATAATTATAATGCTTTTTCATTTATTTTAATAATTTAATAAAAAAAAAAAATATTTATATAAAAATATATATGTTTATTATTTTATAAAATATTATAATAAATAAAATATAAAATTTTAAATTAATTTATAAATTTCAGTTTTTTATATTTTTAATAATTAAAAAAAATCTAATTTAATTAATATTAAAAAAATACAAAATAAAATTTGTTAAGAATAAGTTTTAGATTAAAATAGAATGATAAATTTTAAAAAATAAAC